CGGCCTACTAGAGGAGTTTGATCATCTGGTGGCTTAGTTTATATCGATGGGAAATATGGACGATAAACGATACAAATTATTTGACATATCATATTAAAAAGAAGTCTAATTTTATTAGTTGAGGAGATCCCATGGGCCATTTTACAAAGTTCTTTGTTCCTATCCATCTACGAAGATATAGATGACATAGATCCAGAATACGGCTATATGTGTAGAGTATTTTATTTATTATTATTTTTATATATATTTTTATATTATTGTTAAATTACATCGTATACATTTTTTAATGGATTTTGACAGCATAGAAATATTACGATTTCAGTGTTGCATTAGTATTAACTATTCTATTTTTGAAATTATTTAAATGTGAGTCCTCTGTTTTGAGGAGACAAACTCATTCAAATCAAAATAATTTCTAGGTGATATTCTTTCGATATATAAGTACATACAAACACTTGAGCTGAAGCGCGTTATTAGTGCTGAGAGGATATTTTTTCCAGTTGGTTCTCTGCTTTAAATTTTACATTGTCCGTACTTGGGAGCGTAAATTCTTAGCGCAGCGGCTGCTGGGGTGTTATTTATGCCGCTATCGCAAAATCAAATTTCACAATTTTTTAATTTTGTCGGATTCTTTACGGGCTAGGGGAGTTGCGTCAAAATAACCTTCGATCAATTTATTTAATTAAAAAAAAACATTTATATTATGAAAATTCAGTCAGCAATAGAGGCCCTATTCTGTGGCCAGCTTGCAGCCCAGATTTAACGCCCTTAGATTTGTTGTGGAATATATCAAAGATTTGGCGTATTTGCGACCATTGCCTAATTTGGAAGATTATAAAGTGAATTGAGAACGTTATCGATCGAACTAATAAGAAGTTGTGTTCAGTGTGACGGACGACGATTCGAACATGTGCTTGGATGAGTATTTCTGAAACAGATTTTAGGAGTTGTATGTAAAATAAAATGATCGTAATTTATTTCACTTAACTTCAACGTTTTAATATTTATCATTTTAATTTTTTTATCGGCTGAAATGAAATAAGTGCTTTATATCATTGTAATCGTAATTTAATGATCTGTGGAACAAAATTTGTATTTTTTTTACATCAAACGCCTCACAAATTATCTAGTGTTCGTTTTAGAAGTAAAATGGGAAGATTTGTATGTTAGGTACTTTTTTAGATTTATTTCTTTAATTCAGAATGCTGTCTAGGTAGAAAAAAAATCAACTTATAAGTACATAAATATTTGTAAAATCAGAATGAGTCACCATAATCTCATGTGAAAAGATAAAGTTATTTAAAAACAACTACATACTTGTTAAACATTTGAACAAGAATTATGTACGTATACATGTCAGTAAATTACAGCTAGCGAAAAAAAAGTAAATACAAATCAATGTTACTGGGTACCGATGCTTTAAATAAACTTCCGATAAATTTATCAAGTCCAAAATTCCAGAATCTGAATGCACCATAAGTGTATAGATGTCGTTCAAATCTATTATTGAAAACAAAAAAGAAAAGAAGGAATTTTGGTTCGAGGGACACCAGATAATGCATACCATAAAAATACCTTTATGGTAATTTCATAGTATTCTTCCCTAACCTCACCGTTAAACTTCTGATACATAACTTCAAAATGAACGCATTGTATTCCAATGCAGATTTTGTCATAAAGCAGTTTACTATCAGGAAACACTTCGAATGTGCGGCTCCACCTTTACTGAAACTGAAATCGAATTTATACTTCCACATTTTGATAATATCGTTTTAAATGAGTTAAAATGTTAACGTTAAAGTAGCTTTGAAAAAATTCGTAGCTACATGTTTATTTCAAGTTTATTAAAATTCTGTGATGCTTAAGTAGGCTCTAAGTAGATTATTATTTATGCCATGCATATATCTATTATTTCATTATATAAATAATTAATATGCAAAGGATGTTTTATGAATTATTATTCAGCCATGAGTTTTGGTTTATGATAGCAATTCATGCTAAAAATAACTGTTGTTTATGATATAAAAATATTGAAATACCTATTTTTTACTAGTTCAATACATGTACGAATGTAGGTATCAGTTTAATTCCACAATAATATATAATAGAGAATATAGAGTTTATTGTTAAATAACTTCTAATTTTCGTTTGCTATTTTATATAACAATACATATAACATAGTTATTGTTAGTATTTAAAACTGATGTTGGAAAAGCAGAAATTTGGCGTTGTGAAAATCGTGAAAAAATGTTGCCCTCGTTGTATGAAGTTCATTTTTCAACAATTTATACTTAGGTCCAGAAATTAATGCAGACAATTTGAAATGAGCCTTACCACGATTTCGAAACTTCTAATTAAACTCGTTTTTTTGAGAATGGACATACTTATTTTCTATCACTGGCACTTTCTTATAGTGGTATTAACAAACAGTGAAATGTGATAAACTTATTTTTTATTCCCTGTAGTATGTTATATTTAGTACAGGGTCGTGTTGCAAAATCATTTTTAATTTCCAACATTGCGTAGTTTAGAATTTTTAATTGTGTATGCGTAATTATTTGAGATAGCTCTCATCTTGAATAAATGCGCACACGCAATAAGTTCACGGAATTACTCACAATGTATTTACATCATAGCATTTTTTCATTGTTTTGCATCTGAAAGTGACTCACTGGAACTCTGTGGTGTGGCGGAATTTTTTAGTGCTTACGAAAAAGGTGGTGCTGATGTATAGATAATAAAGTTGCAACAAAACATAAGTGCTCGTTGCTGATTATTTCCAGTCCTGTGTTTTTATTTTTTTGTTTTAACTAGGTAGATACAGATAGTGAAAATGTAGTTTTCAAATATCACTTCATTAAAAAAAAAGGAATGCAGTTCAGGGAAATCAGGTTCAAATTACACAAACTTTTACTAGATGTGTATATCTATTATAACGTATTTTTCGCATGTTGAAAATCTTCTAGATCTTGGAAAATACACATTGAAATTTTTGAGCATTTCCACTCATAATTTGTGTTGTTTTTCAAATTTATTGTCAAACATTTTGTGTTTTTGTTATACATTTTTAATCATTATGTACGCAGTAAAAAGTGATAAATCAAAATTAGTTTTTTATTCTAACTTTTAATGAAATGCTACAAAACGTCAAATTTCAATATTTTGTGGATAGTTTTAAAATAATTCTATTTTGCCGTTTTGTTTCAATTAATAAAAAATCTCACTAAAATTATAATTGATAATTTATTTTACCTTGAAGCGAAACACTATTCTTGAAAAAATTGGCAAACTGTTTTTTATTAACCAATTACTGTTCTATGTTTTATATAAATTAAATTTGTGTAATTTATTGCTTCATTTGCTTTTTCTTCACGTAAAATTGATTTTTCAATCATTTCCGATAACTTAAATTGTGTAAAGCTCTGTTTGACACAGTGACAACAGAATTACTAGTATTTTTTTGGAAAAACAGCAAAAGGATTTTGTATTATTTATTTCTTTAAATCTATTTTGTTATCTGTAACACAGTAAATTAATTTAGATGATTTTTTTTCGTATATTCCGTGCCCCTTTTCGACCACAATTTGACAAAAAAGTTCCGTGTAAATATAATTACTTCCCTACACCATAATTCACGTGTTTATAACATAAAATAATTTGAATGTTATCGGCTCATATTTTCTGATCTTCTATTAAGAAGATAAATAAATCAAAAACAAAAATGGTGGGTAATCTTTTTTAGAAACAAAATTTGTTTTATAGAAACCTTCACATTTCCTGCTGCGTAATTTCAGTTTTTTGTCAGCATTATCATTATATAACGTATGGTAATGGCAGCTGATGTAAATAATTGGTTCTGGAATACATATGTGCTCGGTAGCGCAAACTTACATTGTATGGCCGGTGACCCACACAGTAAAGGTAATATTATAAATAATTCAGTTACTTCCTGCGTTAGGAAAGTGCGTGAATGTGGTCTCAAATAGCTTGAAATAATAAACTAATAATTTAGTACGTTGAACAAAGTTTTCGTCCGGTTTTTTCAACATCTTGCATACGGTTTAACGTTTTCAGTACAGTATATTTAATTACATTAAATTTCAGGGCGTTGTTAAAAGTTTAGTACTTGGTTAGATATCCTAAAAACTGTACGAAGTTTGATATTTGAAATTTTACATGCTTTTTACAGCATGCGATCTATATTATATTCACTTTGCAAAATTTTGCCCATTTTGGAATACTAATTTTTCCAAAATTTAAAATAATCAAAATTTGTTTTTTCAAAAATACTACAAACTTGTTGTTACTTTTCTTAATAACAAAATTTTCTAAGCAGGATAAGATATTCTTTTATCTTCATTTCAAGATTGTTTAGCCTTTTCTGTAGTCTCGGAATACCTACCCCATATAAAAAGAGATGTTTTCATTACTTTAAAATTTGATTCAAGTTTGATAAAAGTGCATTAAATATTACAGAGACCAATTTCTTGCGTGTAAATTTTCAACGAAGAATTGAGTGAAATTACACTAAAAGTAAATTTTTGTTACATACAAACAGGCCAGCGTAGAATTTGTTACATCAACTTCATATATGTATTAAACTTATTTATAAAGTGTAATCTTTTTAAGAATATTTGTTTTAAATAAGTACTTATTCACTGTTTAATAAAGAATTTTGATTTTTTTACAGTTGTAAAGATTAAGTCATAAAGGTTAATTGTGTAACCTATACAGACTGTTACGATTTGCATTTTTTTAAATAATTTAACAAGAGAAATTATTACACGTACTGTGGATGTTAATGGGATATAACTTGTGCCTGTTTACTGCAATTAACTGTTTTGAGGTGTTAATGATAAATAATGGGTTTATAACTATCAGGGTAATAAGAAATAATGGAAGCGATTATTTTTTGATAAAAACTTTATTAAGTTTAAATTTGTTTAATTTATAAAAACATAACGTAATAGTAACAAATATTGATAACTTTACGTTTATTTACAAATACTATAATGATCACTGTACATTTTTACAGCTCAATTTAAAACTTGTTTTGCACCACAATTTTTTGTAGCTTTAAAGAAAAAGCAATAACATGAATACGAACAAAAAACAGTGAAAGTATTCAGGAACAGATGACGATCTGCAAATGTTACGCTAATCAATTTAACAAAATGGTATTAATAAAATGAAAAAATACATTAAACGGAATAATTAACAAAGATTATTTGGTGGAAACAAATATAATAACGGTTAACAAAGTTTTTCCGGAAATTTAAAATAACACAGCAAACGCGCTGCAAAATGATTGTTTAAACGCTATCACATTCTTTTAAATAAACGAGTAACGTAATTACTCATCAAAAATAACAAAACAAGTGTTCGATGTTTGTAAAAATTGTAAAAACTTTAAAAAAGCGCGTCACTCGAGAGCAACGTATGCGAAAGAACAACATTGTATACGTGTACGTACAAAAAATAATTTACTAGTGTCTTTTGATAATTCATTCTTGCTTTGGTATTCTGTAATTAGGTCACTTAAATTAGATTAGCTAGCTACAGAAATACAACCTCATAATATTAGAAGAAATCACTAGTTCTTACTTGTGGTGCTACTATTGAGCGAAACAAAAAAGAAAGAAAACTTTGTATTTTCGCAAAAATCATGTGAACGTTTTTATGAAATATTACGAATACGCTTACTTAAAATCAGTTCTCAATGGTTAATTATTGTAGTAACAATATAATAATAATCATGCTTACAGGTAATTTCACTTTAGTCGAACTTTACGTCATTCGTTTTTATTCTATCACAGCTTATAAGAGCCATCCGCCGGAAGTTAGCTTGCCTTGAAGATTTTGGAATGTTTGGTCATGTATAAGAAACTCGAAGAAAAAACATTTAATACTATACGATAAATTTAGTTTAGTCCCGGTTCAAGCAAAAATTCCATTGGAGGACGCATACAAAGTAAAAATTTCTATTCAGACTAATGCGTTTCACCTAACATGAAACAGCCCCAAGTTGAGGACAATAAGTTGTGGTAAATTCATAATTTTTTGCAGTCCTTCCGTCGTAATCCCTGTGCAACCGTACAAGTCTATACATTTGAGCCTCAAGAGCGACTCCGCGATCGTGGTCAAACCCTTATCCGTCACCCTGCTGCACTGGCCGATGTTTAGCGTCTCCATATCGTGTAGGGTATTCGCGATTTTACTCAGTCCCTCGTCCGAAATTTGACACGCACTCAACGACAAACTTCGTAAATTGAACAGTCCTTGAGAAATGTGCACTAACGCTTGATCGCCAATCTTGTCACAGAACGACACGTCTAACGAGGATATCCTGGACCCGCCCTCGGCCAGGAACGCCATTCCCGTATCGGAGATGTTGTCACACGAACGCAAGTTCAACTCGCGCAAGTTGCTCATCTTCGCCAAGTACTTGAGGCCGCTGTCCGTTATGCTAACACAAAAACTGAGATTGATGGACTTGAGCGACGTCAGGCCCGTGGCGTGCTTGAGCGCCTCGTCGGACAACTTCTGGCAGTCCTGCAGTCCTAGGTACTCCAGCGAACGGTTGCCAGACGCCAGCTGCTTGATGCCCTCGTCGCCGACTTGCCAGCAGGAGCGTAGGTTCAGTCTTTTCAGCTTCTTCAGTCCCCAGGCGATGGATGCCAGTCCCGAGTTAGTCACGTGGCAGCACCCACCCAGCTCCAGCACCTCGAGGTTCCTGAGGCACTGCGCGATCCTTGCCAGCGAGGTGTCTGTCACCTAGTAGAGTTCCGTTTCAATCCGTTCATTCATTCTGTGTACACGGAAAGGTAAAAATGTACGACCACAAAAACTTTATTCGAAATTTTATAGACAAGCAAAATTCATTCAATGACAAAAAATTTGATTTTTTATTAACAGTACTGTTAACATTGCCATTAATCTTGATTGGGTGTATTATGGTGGGTAATTTTGTGAACTGAAACACATGAAATTTAACATCTAATATTCTGCATAGTTATAGTGTTAAAAGACCCCCGATAACTTTTATGGAAAAAAAAACAAAACTATTAAACGTAATACATTCTGTTTTCTACTTCAGTCTATTAAATTACACCAAAGAAGAAAGAGAACCATCCTAGAGGATTCAAGGAGTTTCGATTTTTTTTTAAATTATAAAGGCCATCCAACAGGTTACTTTAAAAGTTCTATTGGATCTTGTGTAATTCTTATAACCTACATTTTAAAATCAAATCCACTAGATAAAAATACTTAGTTTAGTTTAAAGAACGCTGGGTGTAAGGTCAGTTTATCAATCTTCTAATTAACATCAACCAGTTAACGTTAACCAACGATTGGTAAGTTATTAGTTACAATTTTGTAAATTTTTATACGCTTTTCCAAATACTATTTTTATAGTGGAAAGTGAAGCAACTTGAGGTAATGCAATATTTTCTAATTACCTTAATAAGTATATCTTAGATAGCAACAGTTCGATGTATGGATTACAACAATAATATTGTCAGTTATTTCTTTCTTCAAGCTAATATGGAATATTAGAGTAAGTGGCAATACTGATACACAAGAGTAAAGAAACGTATTAAAATGCAAGCGAGCACGACGATACTAGATGTTAATGCACACCTAGATTAGCACATTTACAAACGACAACTTTCTATCATTTTGTCACTCTATTGAGAGACAGAAATGGGGAGAAGTGTTTTTTTCAACAATAAAATAATATTGTAATTTGCACTTTAGTGACTTTTAAATGGAAGCTTACTTATTTAAAAGTTGATTTTTGTAATTTGTTTTGTACCAAAAATTTTGTATTTTGTCTTTTATTTCCTTCCAATACTGTTATATTCATTTATATCGAATTCACTTGGGGAGAAAAACACCAAACAATAGTATTAAATTGAAAGTGTCCAATTATTATCCTCGGTAAGAAAAAAATGACTATGGCAGTGAAACTGTTCAATAACGTTTTAGAAAATATTTGTGATCCAAGTAAAACTCAATAGATATCTTTAGAATTTTAAAGACCATCTTCAGAATTGACACCGTAACTGTGTGTCAGAACTATTACAAATATAATAAGGCATTATAATTTACAATCTCTAGATTATGCACTATAACTTACATAAAACGAATTTACTAAACGTTTTTAAAATACGATTTTCAAGGTAATTTTACTATTTTATGAAATAAGTGTGATATTAAAATACCTCTTTAATAGAGCCAAAATTAAAATTTTAGTAAAGTTTTTAATTCATCATCGGTAGTGCAGAAATACGATGGAATGGGAAATGGATATTTACATTCAAAATATTTTTGAGCTGTCAAATCAAAAATTTTGGCGTATCGTTCCAGGCAACAAGATGACTCATTTATGTGCAAACAAAGTGAAAATGCATTAAGTAAACAGTGATAAAAATACATAAATTAACACAGCTAAGAAATAGAATAACATTTCAGTATTAATAACAGTTAACTTTTTTAAAATCAGTTCAAATTAGGAACAGCTGAAGCACACCTCTGCAAAAGCAAGAAAATGTTTAATTCTGCAAGATATTTATTTTTAATGGATGTAATTTTGTCCGACCAGATGGGTGGGTATTCATCTGGTGAGCATCTCTATCTCACTAATGTACATAAATATACATGCCTACGTCGCCTCTAACATGGAAAACCCTTGTTCCGTGGAATTGTTAAGTCTTGAATTCTTTAATTTTTGCCTAGTGAATAAGAATTTGTAGAGAATTTTCTATGGATGGTAGTCACTCGATTGGTTTCGTAGTGCTGCTGAATATTCCTCTACATGGTGGATACACCATACTACATTATATTATTTTTAAAAGATTGCTTAGGTAAACAATTATGTATGACGTTTCATTTTTATAAAAATATCTATTTGAAAATTTACAGTGGAAATTCTTGTGAAAAAGTCGTATTGTCGTAATGTTATTGACATACAATATTTTAGTCTTACCAATTTTACATTAATCCAAAAATGAATTTTTCATTAAACATAATTCGAAACAAAATGTAGACTTAACCAATTAACGTGTTTCAATATATGATCGCGATTTCCTATTTTTTGCTCAGATAGTAAAAATTTTGACCTTTCTCTGGTACATTCTTTTCCAAAGACGTAAAAATATTTAACGACGAAAATGTAAAAACTTGTTTAGCTATTATAAAAACCACATTTATTTCCATCCAACTATTTATTTGCAGATTATGAGAAGCTTCTGGTGTTTATTTCTAAGATTTTAAAGCAAATAAAACAATAGAAATCTCAGTTAAGCATAAAATACAACATAAATTCAATTTTGTTTTACAAGAGATTATTATTATAATTTCAAAGAACAAACTGTTGCACTTAAATACGTCTCCGTCACACATGTTTTATGATTTAGCAATAAGGAAAAAATGTACTAGAGCTTGATGGGAAAGTTCTATGAAATCATTCTTTTTATTACTTTCCGAGCATAAATTAAACAAGTATTGTAATAGGGTCATTTTAATGAAACGTGGAATCTTATGTGTTTTCTAGGCGGTCCACAGTTTGTAGAACGGGAAAATGTCGGTCTCCCGTTTCTGTCTGTTCGAATTGATTATTGTGAATTTTTGGGTGTGCTGAAGATTACTGTGTTTATGGTAAAACGCTAATCCAAAATTTGTCTTTTCTTTCCTGACAAACATTGTGGTTTAATAGTGTATCCACAGTTGTAAACTTAGATAGGTATACGAATTATTGTCAAAAATAAAATTTGCAAATATATGTAAGTATAACAATTTTTTTCGAAGTTAAGATATTAACGTTATATATTAGTTCCTACTACTTTGATTACGTCATCATACAGTTTATTAAGAAATTCCCATTTGCAACTCGTACTAGATAGAGGAAAACAACGTTTGTTAGAGTATGTATCTACTGATATTTTTGAATTTTTTTTTTCAAAATTTTTCAAGGTCATGAACTACGTACTTATTCATTCAAAATCCTTATGGGTATTGGGTCTATACAAATTTGACAGTATTGTCTGCTCTTCTCATTGTAAATTTTCCTTTTGTTTGAAATTATGCAATCTTTAAAGTTATAATCTGCAACAAAGAGCGGTTGTATCGGTTTTAATACAGTGCATCTTTCCACTAAGTTAATTATTATTAAAATAGAAGTTCTTGTACCAATTTATTTCATAAGAAGAAAAAAACGTATTAATTCACGAGGCAAAATGTACAGCCTAACCAATTATACCAGATGTTCAGAAGTGGCACAATATGAATAAGCTTAAGCAAATTTAATAAGAACCCATAAACATAAAATGAAGGTATTTAAAAAAATTATAAGGTTTTTTCTTTACCTTATTAGTTTCTCAGTCTCGAGAATTTTGAACAAAACAGATGGTGTTCTCCAAAGTCCAGATGTTCATTTGAGGTTCACAGTAAAAGTATGTTATTTTCATACCACTGCAGTCTTAGTCGCCGTAAAATTTTACCAGTACCGAGTTTACCAGAAATGCTGCTTCTAAATTTTTATTAGTTTGACTTGAAAGCGGTTAAGATTCTTCTGATATTTACGTAATAAGTTAATGTCATAAATTGAGAATTTAAATTAGGTAAAAGATTTGTTAATTTAAGTTTTTCTCAGTCAATCAATAAGCCAAAAGCTTAAGAATGTTTTTACACTTTCAATTTTAAATTTACGCGCACTTCCTCTACTACCACGCCAACTCAAATCTTTCTGAAATAAACCCACGTGCTTCCATGGGTTTTAGCAGGTCATTAGTAGTGTTAATTCACTTCAGTGGAGCAAATAAAGCCCAAGACACATTAACAGAAACACCATTATTTTCTTATGTCGTTAATGGGAAGCCCTCAATATCATTTTGAAGTGTTAGTTTGACATTAGTTAATAGTTTAGATCACCCATAGATAAGGAAATTAAAGATCTAAGTTTATACATTTTTCCCAATTAATCGAAAATGTTTAAGTTGATGAAGAGATTTTTTTGGATCAGGATAGCAATTTTTTCAAGAAAAATTTTACCCATCTCTGGTGCACCTCAAATATTTAATTCTTCATTATTAACTATTACTTAATTAGATTAATCAGGAATTAGAGGATGTTAGTCAGATGGATTTTGTATCTGCACATTTTTATGGTGCGTTCGATCATGGTTTACTAGTGAGCAAACTTGCACCATATAGCTTATTATATAACACTTATTAAGTCATATATCTCAAACCGCAGGGTTCTCAACAGGGACCACTCTTTTTCATCTTATTTACTAATGATCTGCACATGCTCAGTACTTGTATATGCAAATGCTTAAAACATTTATGTTTCTGTAACTAATATCATAGTTGTAAATCTTCTAGCAGTTAATTTAAATATTATTGTTCAATATTTACGTTCTAATTTCTTAATTTTTAATGTGGATAAGTGTTATTTTCTTATGTTTACTCGCAAAATAATATCTATTTCTTCATTACGTATTACTTGACTCAAATCTCACTTTTATTAAGCATACTGTGTCATCAGCATCTAAATATCTTGGATGTCTTACAATGCTCACGTTGAGTTATATTTTTCGTTTATTTTAGAGGAGAAAAAACCAACGATGATTCTTAAAATTGTTATCCTTCAAGATCAGTGGACCATACCCACCCAAAATCTTTGGCTATGTTATTTTACTGCAATAGCATAATTTTCAGTCGCTACTTGTTCGTAGAAAATAATACAGTGTTCACTTTTTTTCGGAAGCTCATTTACAACATTTTTGACTGTAGCAAAATTCAACTTTTAGTTTTTCATACCAAAAATAAATATGCTTAGGGCAGCACCTCTTACTACGTGCCATGATGCTCATGTATTGTATAGCGGCAATTTTAGTGAAAAATATTAATTCTTTTTTCGTTTTAAGCGATCCCTGTAATTCTAATTTTTTTAATTGTTTAGTGCCAATTATTTAAGGGTTCAATGAATCAAACAAAGTATTTTGTTAGTTTTTTATGTATCTATGTATTAAGTTATTTTTGAATTTGTGCGTAATATTTAGTTTAGATTTTCATATTGTCCTGTAAAAACAGTCGACGCCCATTTATGGAGGTAAATGGGTTTCAAGTTTCAATACAAATTTATAACTGTAAATTCTGGTGCACCTCAGGGGTTAATATTAGACTCCTTGTTATTTACATTATTTATAAATGACCTTGTTGACGGATCAGCATCACTCAAAACCACTTTTGTATGCTGATGATTTAAACATATTTTTGCAGACTAATGATTTTACAGACTGTGAAAAATTGCAACCTGATATAGACCATCTAACTGATTAATTTTTCGAAGAACACAAAAACATTTTTGCACAACAACATTAAAGGCTTACTATTCACTGACATTTGTGAAGATATCAATAAAAGATTTGTGCAGATGTTGGGCTTTATATTTAGAATTTGAATTGATTTCCAGTGTAAACGTTTTTAAAATTCCATATAAGTAACTCATTACGTTGACATTATTTTGGAGTACGGAATGAGTGTAACGCCACCACCTTTTTACAATTATCAAAAAATCATGACAGACATTTTTAAAAAAGCTGCATTATTTAACTGTAAATGGTTTTAAAAGTACCTAGATCTGAACATGGATCACTTTTTGATATGCTCAACTATAAGAGTTAAGAACTTATCCTAATTATGGCACATTGATACATAGATTGTCTTGAATTGTGAAGAAAAATAACTAATTATAATGTTCAAAAACATCACGCTTTTACATGTTCTGGAAGAAGTAATATGATGTTGAAATTGCCTTTATATAAATTAATAACATTCTGTGAAACAGATGTGCTTTGTGATATTAACACTTCCACTTTGAATGAAATCATTAGTTTAGTAAATAGGCATTGTATTGGCGATATATCATGGTAAGTATTTTTCTATTGCATGGCATTTTTGTGTAATCTTTAAGCAATCTTCGTCTGCAATGGGCTGTTATATTTTTTGTAATGTTGCTGTAAATGAATTCGTTCTGTTGGAAATAAAGTTATCGTTATTATTATTATTAATATAGGGTAATTCCGGTAATCCTTTTACGCTACATAAATAGTAAAAAACCACCCCCAACGAAATTACGTATGCCTTGAAGTATTTTGCGGTTCCATAAGAATTGTAAAAAGTTTTTGTGGTCGGGAATTTTTCCTTTTCCGGGCAACAAACGAAACAACTTATAGGCGAATGCAATGTTGTACTAACCTGCTTGCACAGAGACAGGTTTAGTTCGCAAAGGGACGGCACGTCCACTACGAAGGCGTGTGAGATCCCCACGTCGCCCACGTTGTAGCAGCCGCTGAGGTTGAGCGCCTCCAGGTTGGGGACGCCCTGCACCACGTCCCGCAGCGACTTCCGCAGCGACAGCACCTGGACGCGCTTGATACCACGCCGCACCAGCGACGCGAACAGCGAGGGGTTGGCGCGCCGCAGGTGCAGCTTGGCCTCCACGCCGCGCCACACCGACTTGTGGTAGGCGGCGTCGCGCCACGCGGTGCACACCTGCGCCGCGCGCCCCTTGTCCCGCACGTCCAGGTAGCCGAAGATGATGGCCAGGATCTCGGGGTAGAGGCAGGAGATGTGCGTGCCCTGGTCGCCGTCGCCGCGGCCGCGCTGCGGCGCGTGCAGGTCCTGCGCGGGGCTGTGGAAGTGTTGCGGCTGGTGCAGCCGCTGGTACGGCTGGTAGCGGTGGTGGTGGTGGCGGAGGAGCGCCGCGGTCGACAGCAGGGGGACTGGTAACTCGGTGAACATTACTTGGGTCGGGTCCTCCATCATAGTTGAAACCACTATTTGCACGTTACGTGCGTTTCGCAGACGGCACTGGCGCACTCTCGCCCTCCCGACGGCTCATTTCAAACTGGCGACCGAAGCATTTCGTACGCCGAGGTTGACTGCCTTCTCGTGCCATTGGCTGAAGTGCGCACCACGTGACCATCTAACGTCGTATCGATTCGGTTGCTCACGGCGGCATTTTTAAGTTTCACGAGGATACTTGCCCCCTCTTCCATGGGGGCGGTTTTCGAGCGGCAGGGACGGTGGCAGTCAGCGTGCATTTTTCACAAATATCAAAATTTGGGTTATGACGTTCACTGATGTTTTTTAAACGAATGCTCTTCTTCATCTGTTGAAAATGAAATTCTATTAAAAAAAATCGAGCGACACAATTTTTAAAATACTTCTACTCGCAAAACACGCACAAACGCACGAACGATAAAACTTTGTACAAAGTGATACTTTGTAAAAACAACCTTGCGTACGCTACGCATTTTTATAACATGTGGGGTCACCGTGCTCTTTAACAAACAATGCCTCTACTTTTTTGATTTTTTGAGAAAAATTCTCGTGCAGGGCAGTCCAGGGTGGAGCGAAACTACAATTTGAGCTTTTTCTTTCTCTACGTGTTCTAAAGAAATGCCTTTGTAAATATTGCTCTAAAGGTATTGTTTTTAGTTTGTTTTTCAAATACAAACTTTTCACAAAACAAATAAAACAGCTATGTTGAAATGTAAATATTGATTTATATTGGTGAAATAGAGATGGAGATACATTCGCACCGAAAGAGATATTCCCTTGAAAATTCAAGAGGATAGAGTTGAATGAAACTCTGTTTTTCCTTCGGCGTTTTCTCGAAACTGAAAATACATTTTATTTTAAAAATATAAATAGTATGCACGTACAACATTGTAGTCGTCGACAAAAATATGGCATATGTATTAAGTGTTACTGCATTTTTACATTTAACTCATTCATATGTGCCACTTCGTAAAAAAATTTAAATTTTGCGGACAATTGAAATTTTCTGTTCGTATTATTAAAATTACCTTTGCAACAATATTACATACGTGTGGCATTTTTATTACCGCCAATTCCATTTAAATTTTTTACTTCAGTGTACTGAGCAAGAAACAATGAGGGGAGCAAGATTTGCCTTGATGTTGTATTTGATTGATGTCAAAGATTACAATAAAGACCTAGAAATAATTGAAAGAGTTTGTAGTGAGTTCTCTTGGTCGCGGATACTGTTTTCAAATTTATTTATAAAATATTGGACAGTACTTTCAAAGAGATATTTTTCTTAAAATAATTGTAATAACATTGAAAATGGTTTCTATCTTTCAAAATCGAAGTCTATCACTATGTGTTTCTATGTGGTTACAAATAACTGGACGAGTCATATTTTGTTTTTATTTCCTACTTTAACTGAACTATGTGCTCGGTACAACTTAAAAATTTGTTCACTAATAGAACGTTATTAATAACAGAAAGTGTCACTGCTGAAGTTATGTTGAGTGACATATTTTGGCGAGAGGTTATTTAGGGTAACAATGTTTGTAATTTGTAATACATAGTATTAATTTTGTTGTTACTTGTTACTCCCTAGTTGCGAAAGCTATATACTACGAGTACTTATTAAATAACTTTTTTATCTTTTACGTGCTGATTATTATAAATCTATGAAACCAACGTTTATGGTTAAGTTCAGTTTTGATTTTGAGAACATTTGGCCGTTTCTTCTTTCTATAGAGGGTAATTTTTTCACATTTATTAATTTTTAGTGCGGTTTTGTTCATCTGCATTGCATTCTAATGCGACAAGTTGTTATTTAACCGTCTTTGTCTCTGACGTTAAAAACTCATTAACATAAAAAACGTACACTAAGTACAAGTTGCCTGTTTTTGTTTTGTATCATATTTAATTCTCCTTACCCTTATCTTTATGAAAAATCATTAGGTACACATATTTTTATATACGTATGTATTTGTTACTAGTATAGAACAGACAATTGCCTTAGGCTTCTAACACTGGCATTATCACTGATAAATCAATTACTTATAGATGATTTAAAGTTTCTTAACATTAGTACCTTTTGGGGGTCGTAGTTAAACAGTTACTACGAATTTATTTTGTTAACCCGAAAAACTTACAAACGCCCACATTTCAATTTTTTTGCGTCGAATGTAGCCATTTTAGCAGTTCTTACTTGACTGAAACTTTTAGAAAGGATGTTTTTTCCTTCTGGAAATCAAAACTCGAATACAGAAAATTTGAAAGCAACGCCGCTGAAAATCAAGTTCGCTTATAGAACACTGAATATTCTTCAAACAACAAATTAGGGGTTAAACAATTTTTTGTACTCATGACCTTTTTTGATGGCTTTCGCGCATTCACCAGGGTACGGGATTTCGAACTTCTCGCACCAAAAACTGCGCTACAAAATTGGAACATAATTACTACGCAACTGCACCTTTTGTACAGGACTTACAAACATGTATAACTGTTATTGGCAGGAAAAATATCGAAAATATAACCACAAATATTCCATCTCGTCCGCATTGATATATTTCAGTTTAAAATTTGTTTCTATAGTTACAGTTTATTACAAAAATTTAAGGGTCCCCCCCCCCCCCGAGCTGGAATTTGAAGTAATCTCAAACAAATGTGTTAGTAGTGGAAAAAGTAAATACATAAACCACGGGACAGAAGACTTTTCGGGCCCTCGCTTTCTAATTTCTCTCGATCTGAGGAAATACATAATTCACCTCGGGCCAGAAAAGTGTCTTCTCTCCCTTGGTATATAATTTTAATTATTATTTCTTACCAATCAACCGCGGTCAGTTAAAATGATCACATTTTAAGAAATCATAAAGTTGGAGTTATTTATTGATCTTATTGTATATGTCGTCGACCCATTGTCAATATTTAACAAAATGACAAACAGCACCGATGTGTGAAATTTATTTGCACAGGTCAATATGTTTACTGTTGTTATAAAAGTGACATTATGACGTCACAGAAATTAAACGTACATAGTCAAAAACCATTTTTCGTTTCAATTAACACACTTGTACTTCTAGCCGCAGTACAAAAAAATTATTGAACAACTTTTGAAAAAAAAAAGATTTAACTTTATTTACGATTTAACATTTTGTAGAATACGGAACTCTCCCGACCTCCCATTTCCATCTGTCTGTCGTTTGTTGCCGGTTCTAGATATTAAATAACTAATCTTAGAACTAATTACTGTGAAATTTTAGGTGTACTTTCAGAAACCTTGAAAATGGTAAAACGCTAATCAACATTTATCTGCTCATTCCATCAAAATCTTGCTTGAAATTTATGCTGCAATTTATTTTGCTTTATGTGGGGCTTAATAGTGTCGCTATTTTGAATTTTATGGATTGATTTTGATTTAACAATTACAGACCATCGATTACAATTTATTCATTCATCTTATGTAGAAAGTTGATGATGTCATCTCAGAAAATAAACTATATTATATTATATACTCAAAAAGAAACAACGATCCATCTCGAAGCATAATTTTTAATAAAGATTTATTTACTATTTTTATTTTTTTTTTATACGGGATATTAAAAAAAAAACGACGGGAGAAACAATTAATTTTATTGATTAAATCAAAAACAATAAATCTATTCTGGGAAGTAGATACTGTTAGTGTTACAATGTAGATATGTGTCAACACTCTATATTTGTCTCCACTAGAAAGTTGAACATTACTACTTAATTTATTAAGAAAATCGCACTTGAAACATGGGGCACAACATGTTTTTACTAGCGATTTAATATTAATTTGAAATTAAAAATATGGTTTGAATAGAGGCCTTGCTAGTACTGAAGTAATTTGATTTTAGTTTTTGGGCTTGCTTAACAGAGGGTGTCGAAAAATTGAACATATCAACCCATTCATATTTTCTGTTTTTTTAGAAAGACTTCGCCTTTTTTTTGGTGAAAGTCATTAGGTTACGTCATAAATTGCTACCGGGATGATACGAGTTGTCTCCCGGCTAGCAAGTTCAAGAATTTCACGCCAACGTCGTTAAAGAGATTAAATTTCGGCTCCTGGTGTTTTTGTCAACGCCCCAAATTCTAAGTAGAATTCTACATATAGTTTCGGAAATTTCAGAGCCGGACAATTACAATGGTAAGAAATATTTATGGCTCACGCCAGTTCATTCGAATTTGTTGGTAAACATTTGGCAGGTATATAGTTGCACTCATACAATAATGCTTATTTTCGTTCGTGAGTAACGATGGGCCCTGTTTGGACCTGGATTATTCTGCTTTCTAACATCTGGGGATTAACGCCACGCGACAACTTCAAGTTGTAAATATCTCTTGCAATTGTACTACTGTCTGTCTCGTTATTGCCAATAAAATTTTTTAGAGTATAAAGAAATTTCCAAAACTATAATTCAGTTACGAGCAATTCATTTCTGTAATTTAATTACTTTTGACGCAATGAGTAATTCAATTACTTTTACAATTAAAGTCTAAAGCGAGTTTAGCACAGAATTCTTTAAGAAACCATGATATACAAGCTCTTCAAATATCATTTTAACAGCTTTGAGATTATTTTTCTGTGAATTGCGTTTTGCATTTCTCTGAAGAATAAGACTGGGATTTGGTCGATATTCGTGGTACTCTGTTATTAGTTAAACACTTTATAGTTTTGAAATTTGCTTTAAACTTTACTTATGAAGAAGAAAGAAAAACAACTTTGGCAAATGTTTTGTACAGGTAATTTGTAAACCCAATTTTTGCCAGTGGTTTTTTACAAAATATAATCTCTTTCCACATCTTTTGATGTGATGTTACTTGTACTCGTCGTAATAGGAAAATATAAAAACACTGAGTTTTTTCAGTTTTCAACCTATTACAAGACCGTAAAAATCTCGAAAAATATAACTTTCAAACAAATCAATTTCATCATATAAAATTTAACCATATATGCAGGATAGTTATAGTATATATCAATAATAATACTGTAAAGTTTGTCTAGAATTATAAAAATTTTATGGACTCCCAACGTTAATTTGTTTGACAGCTCAGGCGTCAATTCTATT